CAAACATGCTTTCATTGAATCATTCAGCTATTTATTTTGCTCATATACAGATAAAATAAATTCTTTCGATATACATATATCTGGATGTACACATTTAAGAACAAAAGCATGGATGTGCGCTCTCTCTCTCTCTTTCTCTCTCTCTCTCTCTCTCTCTCTCTCGAGTTCTCTCAGGAGCTATGTTGTCCTCTGCTCTTTGAAAACCACATTCTTCAGGTCTCTCAGATTTTCCCAGTGACCAGCACCCACAGGCCACTGTCTGGGTCATTATGGTGACCACAGTGGCTGAGGAAGTGATGTGAGCTGGAGGCCCTGCCCTAGTGTTTGGTATACAAAGGATGCTTTTCACTGGTCTGGGAGCTTCCCATTGGGGGGTCTGCATTGCTGAGCTCTGCAAAAGAGCTTCTCAGCTTCCCAGCTCGCTGGGCAGATGTGGGCACAGGCTCAGGTTGTGTGTTTTTCTCCTTCTCTGCCTCACCACATAGAAATCTAACTCTCTACAGAGGAAATTCCATTGGAAATACAGCTTTCTCCCCGTAAATTGATTCTACTCAAGACTTCTACTCAAGGTAAAAAGGATCCAAATAGATTTTTTTATAATTTTGATTACATGGTTATATCATCTTTATAATAATTGCGTACACTTAGAAAATGTATTATAGTCTACATTTCAGTATTTAATAACAGTTCCCCAGTAGTGAGAAGAGATTCAGCAGAAATATTGTCAGTGAGAACGAAAATAAACTAACGTCCTGTCTTGTGACCATTCTCAACATTCTTTAAAATGATCATATGGCCATTTTATTTCCCTTTGTGAATGTGGAGATTCCCAGCACATAGCAGATGCTCAATAAATGTTAGTGCTCTTTTCCAAGTAGGCAAGGCAACTGTCCACTGTTCAAATTTTATTTGCAGAACTCCCAAGAGTAGATAGCAAAAATGCAAGTCTTAGTTTTTAATTACAAATGGTCGTTGTTTTTATTTAAATCTGATCAATATTCTAAGGTCAAATTTGTGTAAGATATGCAAACTTAGAGTAGGAAGGAATGTCTTCTGCTAGCCGGCTCTTCACATGTTCCGAGAATAGGGAGCTCGAATTTACCAAAGTTCACTTGAAAGAAAATGAACTTATAAAAACTTGTGGCAAAATCAGGATATGTTGGTAGTACTATCCACATTCTAAGCAAATGAGTTAGTCTCTCCTCTGGGTGTAGGGACCTGACATGAGGGTGCAGATAAGGAGTTTCAGTAAAAATAATAGAAGCCATCTCTCTCACTACATACTCTTCAGAGCGCTGGGGAGCCCCATGCCTGACAGGGAGGGTGGTGAGAGATACAGCACAGGAAAGGTGGGTCCCTGGGGCAGGCTGGCATCCTGACAAATGGCCCCGGGGCCCTCTACTAGGCCTTGGACGGGGTAGGAAGGGAGGAGAGTGGCGGGAGAAAGCAGGTCCTGGTGAGATGTGAATTCACGAGCTTTACAGAACAGCCTGGGGAAATTCCATGCTTCCAAGTCCTTCCAGCTGAGTCTTCAGAAATGATACAGGCTAGGGCTTCTTTCTCCCAACCAGAAGCACATGCAGCATGTAGACAGATACCTGGAATGTTCTCAGGAAAAGCTGGACAGGGGAGAAGAAAGCCACTCACATGTCAAAGAGAGCTTTTCTCAGCCAACATCTCTGTGTTCCACAGTCAAATTGGTTTTTTAAAAGTTTGATTACATGGTTATATCATTTTTGTAGTAACTGCTTACACTTAGAAAATGTATCCTAGTCTGCATTTCAGTACTTAATAATAACAGCTCCCCAGTAGTGAGGAGGGATTCAGAAGGCAGCTCTCAATTTTCAGAGCCCTTTGGGCCAGACCTGGAATAACTGGTTTACGATTCCTCCTCTCACCCCTGTGACGGAAGAAGCAGCTTGGGGAAAAGTTGGCTAAGAGGCAAGAAGCCAGAACAAGACTCATTGCTGGGAAAGAAGTTCTGAGAAATGGGGACTCAACTTCATGTTGGGAGAAGAGAAGAGTCATCTGCAGCTGGCTGCTGGCCCATGACAGGGTCCTCTGGTCCTTGAGTTTGTGACCCGCCTGACAGGGGAGACTTAAATATTTACACAGCACTTTCTCTGGAATTTGGAAATTTCCCTGGTCTTGTGGTTGGAAGGAAATCACTCAAATCACCTCACATAATATGCATCTCTTTGTAAGTATGCATGGGCACCAAGAGATGCTGAACAGCCAGGCCTTGGGAAGGACAGGAAGTGCTGGGATGTTCTGGATCCAAGGAGACCTAGGTACCCTCAGCAGGAGGTATTCATGAATCTTTTGTCCAAGTCTTCACCACAGAGTGTCCCAGCTCCCTTTGGCTTCTCTCTTTGATTCTAGCTTCTTCCTCTTACCACTTCTGCTTGCTCTTAAATTTGCATCCCAATCTTGGCTTCTTTGACTCCTCTGTATAGTATGGCATCCTCTGGTACTATTGACTTCTTCAGGTTCCTGAAAGAGAAAGCTCTGATGGGGTCAACTCATCTTCCCAGGCCACACTGTTGGTCCCCAGCCAGGCTGTGGACTAGCTGGGCACAATCCCAGTGGTGGCTTCCAAGCAGCCCCGACTTGCAGTCCTAAGCATAGCATGTGGATGGAGCACTTTAAGGTAAAAAGGACGCAGGGCTTTGCATTACGTTGGATGTTTTTTTGCCAGCACAGCTTTGCGAAAAACCATACAGTGGTGGGCATTCTGCAGCTGGGGTTGCGCCCATGAGCAGCCTCAGTTTTAGGTCTAGGTAAGTTAAGGACAAGGTTTGCAAAGCACGCTGGGTCTGCCTCTGAGGCTGACAGCATCAGTGAGCTGCTTCCTCTTCCATTGGGAATGACGCAAAGACTAACCTCATGGTCACGAGCCAGCGTTGTCTGGGCCAGTGCACGCATGCAGCCAGAGAAAATGACAACCCAAAGAAGTGCAGTGCTTTCTTTGGGGGTTTCTTTCTGAAAGTAAAAGGGGTTTTCTGATTTGATCCTGTGGAGACCACTTTAGTTTCCATTTTTCTCAGATGATAACATCTACAGAGGGGCTCCTTTCACTGTGGATACATCATTTCTCAAATATTGCGGTCCACTTTTAGAACCACACGATGCTCACTAATTACCACAGTTAGTGCTGACTGTGGGCTGCTCAGACCACCTCAGATGTTCTCCTAATGCTCAGCCCACCCAACTGCAGTGTCATAGAAACCCAGGGCGCAAGCTGGCCCCCATCTTTCGAAGCCGAACCTGCATATCGATCACTCCTCTTCCAAAGGATGCTCCCTGTTGGAATATACGCTGGAATGGTTTTCGTCCTGATGTTTTGTGTAATGAGGGAGCATATGATTAACCTCATGTACATTGAATGCAGCTGTAATCAGGAACGGAACCAATTCATTTTACCTGATTTAGGGCCCTTCGGTGTCCGTTCTTCTTATCATTCACACGATCCCCGTGCTCCGCAGACCCACAGGAGGACATCAATGCAGCTTTTACCGGGACGGCAGATCCAGAGGCCGGCTCAGCCGTTTTCCAGCTGTGACCTCTCATACTGTCCCCGGCTATCGACTCATGTGTAACACAGAGACAGCAGTCACCTGTCCTATGAGAGTTTTGTCATGATTAGAAATAATATTTATAAAGTTTTAGGCAAATGGTGGGTAATAAGTTATCATTATCACTCATATTCAAGGCACCGCTATTTAAAAAGAAAAATAGGAATTCCTTTGAATCGGTGCACCTACTGTCTATTCCCAGCTCCTCCAATGCTCAGGCCCAGGTAAACGGGCGGCCCTTTCAGTCGGCCCTGACTTTGGGAACTTCACAGCCTGGGCTGGTTTACCTGAGAAGGAGGTTTCCAGGAGGAAAGATTTTCATTTCTTTGCCATCATCACCACCTTCGGGGCTTCTAGTTTGTTCCTGGGCCCCGGTTGTGTTGGATGTGAGGGCGGCTCTGTGGGGGCTTGAGAAAAGGAGTGAAAAACCCAGGTGAGAAAACCCAAGAGAAACCGAAAGACCTGAACACGGGAGAAAAAAGAGCCTCAGGACCGAAGCGGTTAAGGCCTGGCTTTGGCAGGAAGTGGGCAGAATGCTGTTTTCAGTGTGCTCATGGGAACAGAGTTGGAAAGTGCTGTGGTGAGTGTGTGTGGAAAAAAGGGCTTTAATCGTGCTATAAATATCTGTTTCTTTGAAGTTTTATGACCAACAATTAATGTTACTGGAAGGCACATAAAGAGTCATTTCTTGACTTGGTGGGTCTGAGCTGGGCAGGGTCAGGTTAAGGTTCTCTCCTCCTGGGACACTGTCCCTACAGAGTGTGTGTGTGTGTGTGTGTGTGTGTGTGTGTGTGATCTGAAGGGTAGTACAGGTGTCTAAAAGTATTCTTAGTATGTATTTACATGGTCCGTTCATTCATTCGTTCATTCAGTTCACTAATGGTTATGGAGGTCCTCTGCATGCAAGCCCTGGTGAGTGGGCAGCGAATCAGTGACACTCCTGCCCCCAGGAAGCTTTTGTTCTATTTGGGGAAATAGATGTTAAACAAATCACAACATCACAAGGAGAGGGGAGTGCTGTAAAGCTAACCTGCAGCTGTTCAGAGGACAGAGAGAGCACAGAAGGCCGTGCGACGCTGGAGAACAGAGGCCTGTGTATAGAAACGGGGTTGGGTGTGAGGCGAGGTCCTGAGGCAGAGGTATTCTCGGTGAGGCCTGGAGCTCTGCCAAGGAGGCCAGGGGGAGCGAGTGAGAGAGAGAGAGGCCCGCTCAGGAGAGCCCTGGAAGAACTGGGGATTCATGGTACCCCAAGTGAGACAGAGGACCAACAGGGTTTTACTTGGTTTTGCCAAATGACCAGCCACCAATTCTATAATATTCTTCCCCCAATGAATAAAATAAAACAATGCAAAGATCAAAAGCAAAATTGAAAACTCCCCCAGAAAGTAACAGGGCTTTTGTTTTTAAATAATGCCATGGCTTTTTTTTTCCTTTCACCTCTTGCTCTATGCTGACCTCACTGTTAGAAATTTTTGCGATCTCATTCCTGCATTGAAGCCCTTCCGTTGCTTTTATGAGTGAAAATGAACTTGATAGCTGGCAGGCAGTAGCAACATCCACTTCTCCCCCATGCTCTCCTTTATACCCATTCTTCACTAATGTGGACCTCAGGAATTTGGGATCTGTGACCCTTCAGATCCAGGACTGGGCTGAGGTTTACACTGTACTCATCTGGGAGGAAGGGTACACTAAGCAAAGAATACTCTGGAACCATCTGGAGAATGTCCCCTTTGCAAGAAAGCAGTTGTAAAACACCCTGGTACATTTCAGAAGTTCCTACTAACTCAAGGGTACTCTTTCCTATTCCTTTAAGTAGCTCACCTAAGGACTTTGCTAGATAAAAGTTGGTTTTCTTAAGTGAGTTTCTACACATACGTGACAGCATGTTTTTTTGTTTTTAACAAAAATTCATAATTCAGATCAGCTTCCCTTCCAGGTAATCTGAATGAGGGAGGGTTGCTGTGTGTGCGAGCATTTCCCTCCTTCGTTTTCAT